TTCTAAGATTTCTTATAAGATTACCCTTTGAGATAAATAATAAAATGATTGGTTCTTTCTTTGTAACTGCAAAATGTAGCCTGCAAACAAAAGAACTGGCTGAAAATATACCTTGCTTGCTTACACTCTGTTCATCTGTAACAAGTTGCTTGGGTATGAATGTATGTGGGGTCTTGGGACAACTTGTTTTTCACCTATAGTATGTAACATGTTTAATCATGTAAAGGATATGGAAAATATGTTTTTTTACTTGTATTCATTGTAATTGTTCACTTGAATAATAGAATGTAACCACACTGTAATTTTTATATTGCTTGAAAGATTTTGCTGGGGTATTGAGGAAGACCAGCTTCCTCTTATTCCCCTAGGTACTCTTAAGCAGGGAGAAATGAGGAATTTGCAGATAGAAGTATATATATATATATATATATATATAGAGAGAGAGAGAGAGAGAGAGAGAGAGAGACAGACAGACAGACAGACAGACAGACAGACAGACAGAAAACATAGGATAGCCTCAGGAGGGCCTGGGTCCAAACCCAACCCACCAACCCCTTCTGTCTTTATCAAAGAGCTTTTTAAAGGAATGCCAAGGGGTGGAGCAAAAGACTTCCACCTATCACAGCCAAGTGTAGGCCATCTCAAACATCTGGTGACCTTGAATGTGGTCCAGCCATCCCCTAATGCAGCCCTGCCATGAAAAGCAAGCTCAGGTTTCACTGGGAAACCTTTGTGGGCTCCCACAGGTCCCTCCTCTTAATTTTTTAAAGAGCTTCTCAGGCTCCATCAGATAGACTGAGGTCTGTCTTAGGTCATTCTCTATGATTATTTATTCCATTACCCCTCATAGATATATGCTTCCCATCAAGCATACTCTGTCTTAGGCTGGAAGCTATCAAGAGAAAGTTGCCCGTCCTTAACTCTCAGCCTCTGATAGGAGGGAGTACTGATCTTAACTCAGCTCTGGCCCAGGTTCCTATTGAGCTTACAAACTCCACAGCAATCTCCATAGCTGCCACACCTCCCAATACAGGAGTAGAGGATAATAGAGATGGCATTTCTTTTTTGGAATGGGTCTTAAGATGTCTATAACAGCCTTAGCTGTGCCAAGTCCTTTTTCAACTAAAACTCTTGATGCAAACTGCATCTAATAAACTACATCCAACTTAAAGATTCCCTTAGCTTTTTACCAAACTCTGGTTCATTAACCTTAACATAATTCTGGTATAAACATCACCATTCAAACCAAATTCAAATCAAATTTACAACTCTATTTTTATTTTTATTTTTTGAGACAGGGTTTCTCTGTGTTGCTTTGGAACCTTTCTTGGAACTCACTTTGTAGCTCAGGCTGGCCTTGAATTCATAGAAATCCACCTGCCTCTGCTTCCAGAAGACTGGGATTATGGGCATGTGCCGCCACCGCTTGGCTCATATTTACAAATCTCTTAATTGAACTATTATCACTGTACATATTTACACTTCTTGCAAGCTTACATTAAACATTTAGACTTATATTCAACAGTTACACTTCTCACAAACTCACATTCAACATATACTTAATTGTATTTCTTACAAGCCTATATTCATAAGGAAACTCTATAGGACTACCTTAGCAAATATACTTCTGAGAACTATTAGAAGGACTCACACAATATCTACTCTAATATAAGCTTACATTCTATAGGACTACTTTCTTAGAACTACTAGAAAGACTCTCTTAACAAGACAGGACATATGCAAATTATTTCTAAGGTTCAGAGTTTATAGTCAGCTTTGATATCATTTTGAAAATTCTTCTGACAGTTGGCCAAATATTTTGTAGCAAGGTTATTTGTTCACCAAAACTGCTACTATTCAAAGGAGTCAAGAACATGGACATTATTTCATGAAACACATTCTTCATTAGCTTACTCTGAGGAAGAACATTTCATGATTTAGTATTTTTCACCTCATTCATTACCTTCTCAACCCCTGTTGTTATTATTAGCAGCTGTAATATACTCTAACCAAGAGTTATTTAACTCAGACCATTCTCACAAACATCAGTACATTAACTAGGCAAACATTCTGATTTAGCATTGATTTCTAATAGGGAACTTTCAAGTGAAGCAACTATTTTGTGATATGTTTAGATTTTCTGAAGTTTGATCCCCATGTATAAAGCAGTCATTTCTTTTTGAATGCCTATTTCCTTGTCTCCTTATTAGATTTGCAAAGGAACCATTCATTGCAGGCTGTTTGTTCATGAGGCAAAGAACTTTTTTATTTGTCCATAAGTTTCTTCATATCCAAAACAATGTTCAGTGTATGGACTGCTTTCACTTGCTTTTTTTTTTTTTTTTTTTTAAGGATTTTAAAGTAGCTTGTTGACAAATGGTATTAGTGTTTTAATACTACACTTGATCTTAGCCAAAAGGCCGAGAAGCGATGGTATTAGTGTTTTAAATCATCTCCTGACAGGCAAGCTGTTTGTCTGATCTTAGTTCCCCAGAGGTAAGATTAAACTTTCTAGCATTGCTTTGAAAAGAAACTTCATCCTGAGCTGAAAAAAAAAAACAGTTTTTGGACAGTATCGCCAGCTTGAGCCTAAAAACTACCTTTCCCAGAACGCATTTCTCTATATC